CCAACCACCCACACAAATAGAAACAAGTTAGAAAAAGAAAAGTAGGAACTACCAGTGACACCTTCCAACCACCCACACAAATAGAAACAAGTTAGAAAAAGAAAAGTAGGACCAGCCAGTGACACCTTCCAACCACCCACACAAATAGAAACAAGTTAGAAAAAGAAAAGTAGGACCAGCCAGTGACACCCTCCAACCACCCACACAAATAGAAACAAGGTAGAAAAAGAAAAGTAGGACCAGCCAGTGACACCGTCCAACCACCCTCTAACAGAGCATCAACTTGTGTCTGCATGTACAATAGGCCTGTTCTTCATTGAGCATACTAATCGATTAACTCGACTATCATAATAAAGACTTGCATTAATGGGTTACTCTAAGCCGTAATCCACTGCTGCCAACTCCTCTTGTACAGCAGTCCAGTCAGCTGAATTAGGCCTAGGATGTTTCCTCCTTTGATGTTATCGCTTAGGCTTATCGCTCAACGCTGGGACAGGCTTCCGGTCTTGACACGAATACATTCGCAAGTAGCAAAATATTGCCGAAAATAGCAGTAGGAACCGTTTACTAAAACCAAATGAGAAACGATGACAGAGTCGTTCCACCGCGGAAACCCCATTCAGCCAGCAAGGTCAGAAGGAGGAATAAATACTAATCGTTTAAATAATCAATTAATAGATAAGTTCCGTTGAAAACCGATACGTCATCGATTGTCAAATTTTTTGATGAAGCACAGGCCTGACGCACAAGCCAAGCACACAAATGTTATGATCTAAACTCACATGTCAGCCAAACACAAAACCTAACCGTTACCTAGACTCCAGTGGGAAATAGAAAATCTACAATGAGATGAGTAGGTCGGACAGTGTCACTGGTAAACAGCCCTACTTCTTTTCTTTCTGTTTATTCTTTCTATTTGTGCGGGTGGTTGGAGGGTGTCACTGGTATGTCCTATTTCTTTCCTTTCGCTCTGTTGTTTCTGTCTGTGTGGGTGGTTGGAGGGTGTCACTGGTAAACAGCCCTATTTCTTTCCTTTCTCTTTATTTGTGTGGGTGGTTGCAGGGTGTCACTGGTAAACAGCCCTATTTCTTTCCTATCTCTTTATTCTTTCTATTTGTGCGGGTGGTTGGAGGGTGTCACTGGTAAACAGCCCAATTTCTTTCCTATCTCTGTATTCTTTCTATTTGTGCGGGTGGTTGGAGGGTGCCACTGGTAAACAGCCCTATTTCTTTCCTATCTCTTTATTCTTTCTATTTGTGTGGGTGGTTGGAGGGTGCCACTGGTGGGTCCTATTTCTTTCCTTTCTGTGATGTTTCTGTCTGTGTGGGTGGTTGGAGGGTGTCTCTGGTGGTAGATCCTACTTTTTCAATGGGGGTGTGTAGAATGTCCACGTGTTCCATTGTGTATCTAGGAGATTGTTCCATTGTGTATCTAGGAGATTGTTCCATTGTGTATCTAGGAGATTGTTCCATCCATTGTGTATCTAGGAGATTGTTCCATCCATTGTGTATCTAGGAGATTGTTCCATTGTGTATCTAGGAGATTG